ATACTTGAAACACTCTATCAAAATGTAGTAAAAAGACATACTGTTCCATTCATATCTCCTCGACGCCTCCACCTACAGAAAAATTGGTAATACCAGATTATGAACCCCCCGATACCGTATGTTTGATCAAATACATCTTTTCCTATCTTCAAAAACAAGCGAGTTATTCAGGTAACTCGTTTAAAATGCCCCACCCTGTATAAAATACACCTAATGCTTTTTCATTTAAACTTAACAAATAGGTAGATTGTAGTATGAAAGTGAGTTAAATTTTTGTGTACCTAGGATACGTGAGAAAAAATTTATCAGCTTTTTCTTTCTCAGAGAGGACACTTTTCTCATTATCACCGTTTATAATTAACCAGCTTATTACTCGACCAGCTATCGTCGCGAGGAATCACGATAAAAGGAGGAGGAGGAGGCACGTAAAGCACTTGCATAGCAGGTGAACAAAGGGTAGATCGGAACGAGGAGACAATAAGAAGAATGAGAAAAGAAAATGCATTTCCCGCTGGGAGCGTATAGAAAAACCGTACCATCGACGATTTGACTTTATAATCGAGCCGGTCTCGTTCAATTACGATGGAATTTCTCGCGGAATTTCGTGCAAACAGCGGTGCTGCGATTCGGGGCGAGTCGATTAAGTGCCCGGGTAAATATTCCTCTCCAGTAGGCTCGGCGATCCGGTAGCTGCAGACAGACGAGACGAGATAAACGATCTCGAGTATAGCGATTACCACGGAGGGGTCGGGATAAAAATTTGTCCGTCTGTTGCGCAGATAAATAAAGCACGTTCCTCCATTGATGAGCCTCAGTCAGCAGTTACGTTCGTTGGATTTTTTCCATTCCAGGCTAAGTGGCGAGAAAGATTGGTTACCAAAACGCCACGTCACGGGAATCGCGTTACCACGAAACCAATCAGTTGAAATAGTTTTTGTTAACAGAGAAACCCGTCGATCTCCAATTTATTTAACTAATTATGATTCCAAATAAATTTTTAATGAAGTCTTTTATGAAATTTTTCAAGACTGTTTCGCCTCGCAAGTCTCTGCTCTATTCCAGTGGAAAGGGTACTGTAAATTATGTTTTAATTAAAACTTAGAGGCCGATCGGTTTACAGAGTTCGACGATGAATAAGAGACCCATAGCGTTACCTATCTCCTACTTTCCGTTCTCCTTTCAAAGCCCACGTAGTCAAATGAAGTTCAATCACCTCTGCACTCTTTTATACCTTATAGCGAGGGGCCATCGATAGGCTTTTGTGCCTAGCAATCCTCGGTTCTATACTCTTACTACGTGCAGGTATTCCAGAATTTAAAGAATTTTCCTTTAGGTATAACGAGACATTATTCAAAAATTTAGGTCTAATGATAGCTATTACAAATTATATAGCGTTCGTTTATATTCAAACAAGATTTTTATGCACGTACATTTTTTATTATATGATCGTTCTAACGTGTTCAAGAATTTAAGTAATTAATCTTCAGGTTTAACGAGTTGTAATTAAGAGATTTATATTTAATGTGACAAGTTAGTATAGAGTTAAGAAATGATATAAATTAAATAGCATCTCTTAAATTCTTAAATTTTTATTTAGATACGACCATTCGTTACAGATTTACGTGTAACGTGATTTAAAATAACATAAAGTAAATTAATGATATGAAAATTGATATAGAAAAGATTTCTATATCCGAGCGATAACAGAAGTTATTGATTCGAATTAAATTCGCGTATATCGCACTGTTTTCTTTCGGAATCGGCTTTTTAAATTGCTTTCCTATACCGGGTCAATAAAGTCGAGGCGATAGCGCGTTTTAAAATTCGAAAAACTGCCTGCCGATGGACATCGCCGTCTATAAAGAGTTTGAATGATGCGTGGGAGAGGCGCGGTCGATATCAAGCGCGAAGTTGGCTACGCATGCGCCTGAATCGCGGCCAGCACCGAGCAACTTCACGACGGTCCACAGTGGCACTTCGGCAGCCGGGAGGGGAGGGTTCTTTTGTCAATAAAATTGTGTTCTATTAAACGCAAGGTCTGATCGATGTGAAAAAATCCAAGAAGCCGGACGTCCTTCGAAGTATCACCAAAGGGGACGTGAGTAGACAAACACTTTACATTATTTTCAACATTTTCTTTCATTCAACGTTTTGTCATATCCTCGAGTGTCAAGTCGCACCTTCTATGGATTCCTTCGCTCGTTCGATCTCTCCTACGTCTCTAGGGTTCAAACATAATTCCTGGCTCGCTGTGTCTTCCGCTTTTCATCAAATTTCTCGTCCTAGGCTTCGTGTTCCTCTGTTGTTTCCTCTGAACATAACCTGCTTTCACGCCTCCTCGACGCACCGCAACTCGTTATTCCATGTAGCTCCTCGATGTGGGCGAGGGCCGATTTGTTAGGATAACGGATAGGTTTCTTCTCGTTTCAGTTGAACAGTTTTCCAAGATGTCGACCTCTGCGATATATATTTTAGACGTGAAGGGTAAGGTTCTGATCTCACGTAATTATCGTGGAGACATAGAAACAGGTGTGATCGAGAAATTCATGCCCCTCGTTATGGAACGCGAGGAAGAAGGCAATCTCACTCCTATCATTCAAACTCCCGAATGTACATACGCCTATATAAAGTACAACAATCTGTACATCGTCTCGACGACAAAAAAGAACGCCAACATCTCACTGGTATTTGTATTCCTGCACAAACTGGTTCAAGTGATGCAAGAATACTTCAAGGAATTAGAAGAAGAGAGTATCAGGGACAATTTCGTTGTCATTTACGAGCTGCTGGACGAGCTCATAGACTTTGGCTATCCACAAACCACCGACAGCAAGATTTTACAAGAGTACATCACCCAAGAGGGACACAAACTCGAGATCCAACCGCGAATCCCCATGGCCGTGACCAACGCCGTTTCCTGGAGGTCAGAGGGTATAAAATACCGTAAGAACGAAGTGTTCCTCGATGTGATCGAGTCCGTGAATCTCCTGGCGAACGCCAATGGGAACGTTCTCAGCTCCGAAATAGTAGGTGCCATCAAGATGCGAGTCTACCTGTCCGGAATGCCGGAGCTGAGGCTCGGGCTCAACGACAAGGTCCTCTTCGAGTCCACGGGACGCGGCAAGTCGAAGTCCGTCGAGCTCGAAGACGTCAAGTTCCATCAGTGCGTCCGGTTATCAAGGTTCGAAAACGACAGGACGATTTCGTTCATTCCGCCTGATGGAGAGTTCGAGCTGATGTCGTACAGGCTGAACACGCACGTGAAGCCGTTGATATGGATCGAATCCGTCATCGAGCGGCACGCTCACAGCCGAGTGGAATACATGATAAAAGCGAGGTCGCAGTTCAAGAGGCGGTCGACGGCCAACAACGTGGAGATAGTGATACCCGTGCCGAACGATGCGGACTCGCCGAAGTTCAAGACGACCATCGGCAGCGTGAAATACTCGCCGGAGCAGAGCGCGATCACCTGGTTCATCAAGTCGTTCCCCGGCGGGAAGGAATACCTGATGCGGGCGCACTTCGGCCTGCCATCCGTCGTCGGCGAGGACGTCGAGGGCAAGCCGCCGATTCAAGTGAAGTTCGAGATTCCGTACTTCACTACGTCCGGGATCCAAGTGCGTTATTTAAAGATCATAGAGAAGAGCGGGTACCAGGCGCTACCATGGGTCAGGTACATCACTCAGAACGGGGACTACCAATTGAGAACGAATTAAAAAAATTCTTAACGTACAGAAACCGGAAATACAGAAGTGAGAACTGATCGTGAACGAATTCAAGCCTAGCTGTTTCGTGAGTCGATACTGAGAATTATGATTTTATTAGATAGCAGATAGAATTTACGGTGTTCTAATCAGTCTGGTGTTCGTTTGACCCAAGGTTGAAATCGTTTGCAATTTGAATACTCGTTTATATCTTGTACAAATGGACGCTACTGATCTTTTAGAGACGTTTACAATCTCCTTTGGTGTAAATCGCGCGAGGCGCAGAGTACTTAATTTATTGCAAAACGTTAGAAATTGCATTTTCTATATACAGGGGTCATTGTATGTCCATTGCAGACAAAAGGGAAATTGTAAATATTTAGATCGAATGCTAAACGTTTATATAAAATTGTTAACGAATTAATAAATGTTCTTCTGTATTAAATTAAGATCGAATAGTATTACGTTAAAACCATTACTGTATTTCAGTACGACAGTGGATAATAATTATTGTAAACGATGTATTAGTAATTTAAGCCACGCAAGAGACATATTAAATTTTTAACCAAAATCATTTTCATCGTTTCGTATCCACAAATACCAGAGACTAGATTTTCTATGCATTTTTTAATGAAGTTTCGAACTATTTTCGTTTTGGTTATTCGATTTAATGATGCTTGTTCGCGAGTTTGATATTCAATTCTCGATTTCATTTCGAACTGAAAGTAACTGTCCGTGAAAATTGCGAGCCCGTGGAACGGAGTATCGCGAATTGAGTCGAGGCAATCAAAAGGCGATGGAAACGGGTAGAACTGTTGCGTTTGATCGGAAAGTACCGGTAAACATTCGAGCGCAGTCAAATCGAACGTACAGAGACGGCGGTGGAGAACGTAGACACGGAAACCCGATTAAACCGAAACGCGCTCCTTTCTTTTTCCTCTCCTTTTTTTTTATTCACGTACACGGTCGCGTTATGCAAATTTCGATGGTGTGCGCGCCGCGTAATAATTTTATGGAAATTGCACGCCCTGCAAGGAATTCCGAAATGCACCAGGCAACGAGAGAGAATAGCTCTTTCTAATCCAACTCGTTTCCTTCGAGGTACGTTCGCACTTCTTATGAACTGTTAACAGTACAATTTCCTCATTGAAATCGAGAGTTGATGCATTCTCGTATAAGTCAGACCCACTTTATGTTAATTAGAATGAAAATTGTAGAGAGAGTTAATATCAGCACAACAGCACTCAATATTGCAGCAAAGGTGCAAAAATATTGTATTGCAAAATGGTAATATTTCAAACAATGTTTCTGCAGGAATTTCTATAATTGTGATTACGA